AAAAAAAAAAAAAAAAAAAGAAAGAAAAGAAATATGCACTTGTTAATATAGGCATATTTTTTCCTGAAAGTACTCAAACTGTTGGCAGCTGCTAACTTCACAGAGATGAACAGAAAAGGTGGTGTTTGCTATCATTTTGAACCTCTCTGGACTTTAAATTTTCTTACTTTCTGAATTTTCTAATGTGTCTACAGGGATTATTTGTTAAAGGAGATTATGGGTCATTTTTGTTTTTTCTTTTTTGAGACAGAGTCTCACTCTGTCACTCAGGATAGAGTGCAGTGGTGCGATCTCAGCTCACTGCAACCTCCGCCTCCCGGGTTCAAGTAATTCTCTCCTGCCTCAGCCTCCCGAGTAGCTGGGATTACAGGTGTGCACCACCACACCCAGCTAATTTTTGTAGTTTTAGTAGAGATGGGGTTTCACCATGTTGGCCAGGCTGATCTTGAACTCCTGATCTCAGGTGATCCACCCACCCTGGCCTCCCAAAGTGCTGGGATTACAGGTGTGAGCCACTGTGCCCAGCCTGTTTTCTTAATATCTTTTCATATTTAAGTAATTCTAATGAATATATATATTTTTTGAGGCAAAATCTCACTCTGTTGCCCAGGCTGGAGTGCAGTGGTGCAATCTCAGCTCACTGCAGCTTCCACCTCTGGGGTTCAAGTGATTCTCGTGCTTCAGCCTCCTTCCCGAGTAGCTGGGATTACAGGTATCTGCCACCACACCTGGCTAATTATTTTTTGGTATTTTTAGTAGAGACGGGGTTTTACCATGTTGGCCTGACATCAAGTGATCCACCCGCCGTGGCTTCCCAAAGTGCTAGGATTACAGGAATGAGCCACCGTGCCTGTCCTCTAATAAATACTAATAATAAACTTGATGACTCCCAGCACAGCCCCAACCTCCCAGCCCACTTCTCCAGTGCCCTCTTGTGCCTGCCACCAACCACCTGCCACCCTTGGCCCAACATACCCTCTTACACATTTGCTGACACATCTTATCTCCTCTGCTTGTGACATCCTTACCTCAGTCCCATTTTGTCTTCCTACCTATCAGTTAAGGCCCCATGTTCGCTTTGACTGCTTCTCCACCTCTGCCCGCTACTCCCCCTGAAGCCAGGTATACATCACAGAGTGTGAGACATGCAGCAAACTGAAGAGGGCCTGCACCCTCAGAAGGGCAGCTGCTCCTCACTCCACTGGTGCCATTTGGAAGTACAGAACCAGAGTTAGAGATTGTTTTTTTCAAGTAAAACCCGATATCTTGAATTTAATGCATTTTTCATCCGTTCAGCAAGCACTTACTAAGCACTTACTGGCACAGTTCTGGACCTGTGGGTTTAGCAGCATTCAATTAAAAAAAAAACACAAGGCTGGGTGTGGTGGCTCATTCCTGCAATTCTAGCACTTTGGGAGGCCAAAGCAGACAGATCACTTGAGCCTAGGAGTTCAAGACCAGCCTGGGCAACATATAGAGACCCCATCTGTACAAAAAAAAAAAAAAAAAAAACCCTACAAAAATTAGCTGGGTGTAGTGACACATGCCCATAGTCCCAGCTACTCCGGGTGCTGAGGCAAAAGGATCGCTTGAGTCTGGAAGGTCAAGGCCACAGTGAGTCGAGATTGTGCCACTCTGCCTGGGTGACAGAGCAAGACGCTGTCTCCAAAAATAAATAAATAACATACAAGAATGTCTGCCTCCGGGAGCTCACATTCTAGCTGGTGAGGGAAGGGAAAGGTAAGACAAGAGAAATATATACATTAGAGAGTGATAACTGCCAAGGAGAAAAATAAAACAAGAAAAGGGGTCATAAAGTGGAGGGGCGATGTCACTCAAGTCTTCAGTTCAAGGTAGATACTTAGGCTGAAGTCATAAATTCTTTTTTTCTTCACCATTCAACTTGATCTTTTTATTTTTTGAGACAGAGTTTTACTCTGACCCCCAGCTGGAGTGCAATGGTGCAATCTTGGCTCACTTGCAATTTCCACCTCCCAGGTTCAAGAGATTCTCCTGTCTTAGCCTGCTGAGTAGTTGGCATTACAGGCGTGTGCCACCACACCCAGCTAAATTTTATATTTTTGGTAGAGATGTGGTTTCTCCATGTTAACTAGGCCGGTCTTGAACTCCTGCCCTCAAGTGATCTGCCCACCTTGCCCTCCCAAAGTGCTGGGATTATAGGCTTGAGCCACCATACCCAGACTAGAGTCATAAATTCTTAATGTAAGTTTTTCAAAATGTTAAATACTGTAAGGACCTAGCAGGCTACATACAGTCCACAGACCAGCAGTTTGCCATCTCTGATTGTGAAGGCCAGGAATGTAGTTGAGGGAGAAAAAAAATTTGGAGTATAATAATTTAACTTATGTCTTCATACAGATTTACAATTTACAAAACTGCCGCAGCTGTCAGCTTTCTTTTACAGAAAGTGAAACTGCTTCATAGCTTGTAAGCGGTGGAACCAGGATTCAAACTTAAGTTCTCCCTAACATCCTTGAAGCCAAGGGAGAGGAGTAATGAAATATGAAAGTGAGAAACACTGCTGGCTGCACGTGGTGGCTCATGCCTGTAATCTCAGAACTTTGGGAGGCTGAGGCAAGCAGATCACTCAAGTCCACAAGTTCAATGCCAGCCTGGGCAACATGGCAAAACTCCATCTCTACAAAAAACACAGAAAAATTAGCTGGGCATGGTGGTGCACGCCCAGAGTCCCGGTTACGTGGGAGGCTGAAGCAGGAAGATCACCTGAGCCAGGGGGTCAAGGCTGCAGTGAGCCGACTGCACCACTCCACTCCAGCCTGGAC